TTGAATAACATTAGGATAAGAGTTATAGAGGAAGGGTGAAACCAGTTGGGAGTGAAAGCCAATCCTAGATGCTGCAGCTTCTGCAGCAGTTAGACAGGGCCACCAACTTGGCAAGGATGAGCCTACTTTCCCCAGATTTTTCCAGCTGGTGTTAACCCATTCTATGAGCTGCAGAACAGAGCTTCTGCTTAAAGACTCTTGAGCTTTTCTTCTTTCTTATTTAGCAAATGAGTAGAAAGAATGAACACATCTTTAAAAAAGTACCTGATAGAATTTTGTTGAATAGCTCTTAAATGATAGTAATCATTTATTTAGTGAACAAGATAGTATTCTTCCTGTTCTTATTATTCCATGCTTTACTTAATAACGCAAAGAACCGTATTGTTGTCACTAGGAATCATTTTAAAGTCCCTTAATGGAGATGGAATGTCTTAGACATTAGCATAATGTCCTGAGCTTGCAAACCTTTTCTGTGGAAATATGGATGCCAGTGAGCAAAGAATGAAAGCCTTTGGAATATGTAGGCAATTACATCACATGATTTGAAGTATGCTAGAACATTTCCTTAATTTTCCTAAATCCTTTTGCCATCAGCTGAGTCAAAAATTCTACTAGTGAAGAAAAATATCTTTAGTTTAAAACTTTATTTTATATTAAAATTCTGTCTTCTTGATTTTGGGGGAGGGAATTTTTTTCTATTAGTTATATATAATTATTATTGGTAGAACTAATAATGATAAAAATAGAATCATGTATCAAGTGCTTTGTTATATGTCAGTCACTGGGCCCAATTTTCCATACACCTAAGTCTTTATGAAGAAAACAGTAAAGAATGCCCAGGTGCAGGAGATGTTCTTCTTATCCCCATTGCATCGTTAGGGGTATTACAGAGCATTGTTAATCCCCACACTTTAGGCCACACCATTAGTGATTAAAGGCAGAATGTTCATCCCCAGAGCACCTTTCTTTTGATCATTGTGTGCCTTGTTTATTACCTTGTTTAATCATTTTACATTGGTAAAGATAATGTCCTGTGAGAATATGAGAACATAAGAATATAATTAGAATGTAAGAATGTTCCTGCACTGGTTCATGCAGTCTCTTCCACCATTGTGTTTTGTCAATTAAAATCCTTTATAATCATCCTTCCAGGTCAGTTCAAATGTTACAGGCTTCAGGAAGTTTGCCTCAGTCCCTGCTATCCATTCTCCTCTCGTTGTTGGAGTTATTTCTTTCTCTGTGCATTAAGAGGATGTGATCTGTGCCCAAATTATAGCACAGCACATTCAGCCTTACTTGATCCTGTCTATCCCATTGCTGAGCTTGTGTATTCGCTTAGGAGCATAAATTGTGTTTGTCATCTTTGAATCCCCAGCCCCTAGCTCTCCTACCTATTGTAGGTACACAAACAACTATTGAACATATTCTCATTTGTTCCTCAATATTGGGTAGAGGAAGTGCAATGTTTCTTGATCTTCTCTGAGCTACACCCACCTACAAGTGGAAAATTAAATCAGTTGGAAGTGCAGGGGAGAAAGGAACACACACACACACACACACACACACACACACAAAGTTGGCAACAAGCACACTAATGTCTGATGACTCTACATTTTTGCTAAAGAGCACAAGTTTGCTAAAGGAAAATTGTTAGTTTGTTTCTGTGGGGACAAGTGGCATACCAAAGAGATTAAATGACCGGATCTGGAGTGCTTTTAGGCAGAGGAGAGGGTCGCTCTAAATCTCAGTTCTCTAATTTGTTCTAAGAATTAGAATAGAAAATACCTGGCATTTAAAAAGATATTTTAGCTGTAATAGTCATAGTGTTTTCTTACTGCACAGATGACTATAGGCAAGATTCTTAGCTTTTCTGAGCTTGTTTCCTTACGTCTAATCTCCTCCTGGAGATTCTCATACTTAATTTTGAAAGGCACTGTTTATAACTGACACAAAGTATGTGCCTGATGCATGATTCTCGCTTCCCCTTTCTCTGGTCCCAGTGGAATATCCCTCAATAACTATTTTAAGCAGAGAAAAAACCAGTTATCTTAGGAAGAAGTTGCCCTTTTTTAAAATAGCAACATTTTACCTTGTGCTAGATTTACAGCCAACCTTTGACAGCTTGCTTTGCTCTGATTTTTTTTTCTGATTCTCAATTTGTTTATTTTTTAATGACAGCTTAACTAATTGTATCTTAGACAAAAGAAAAATATTGTTTAACACTCTGTTTATGGCCAAGGAATATATATACCAATGTAACTTGGTTATATGACAGCATGAAGTATGGACTCTTCAGTCATAACATACTTCAACTCATGAAGTCACACTCTGTAACCTTCTTTCAGAGGCAAATCCAATTTGATTTTTAGTAACATGCTTCTGAAGACTAAACAGTAAAGTTCACAGAAAATTTATTACGTGAAGACATGATCCAACAGGGTCACTTTCTTTAACAAATAATGGCAAAATTTAAAAAAAAGAGAGAGAGCGATTGTAAGAGTTCATTAGTTTCAAGGACTGTTTATACATTGTTAAAATCTTTGTAAACCACTTTTTGGTGGGTGATAATGACCCTTTCATTTGTGGAATTTGGAGATAAAATGGTTGGTGTCTGGTATGTCATAAAGGTTATGAACAGAATGGACATAGATTTGCTCATCAAATATCAGAGTACTTGAAAGTTTATATAACTTTATGGATTCCTAAGATGTTTGTAATAGAAACAAATGAGGATTGAGGCACATACCTGACCTTTTGAGGTTAACAAAAGTAAACTCAGTTCTCCCACAAAACATGGCAGAATGTACCTGTCAAAGTTAAAAATGTACAGGGTAGCCCATCTGTCTGGAAACAATCTCTTTTTAAGAATAGAAATGAAGTAATTTTTAAAAAGTGAAAACAATGATATTTTCTCTTGCATGTATAATTTGCAATTCTTAAGGGAGGGGGACCCCTATGTGAATTATAACAGATCTTCAAGGGAGGCTTGTTGAATAAATGAATGAATGGAAGGAAGAATTCAGGGGAACTTCAGCAATAGGAAAACAAGGTGATCCTGTAGATTATTATGTAATATTCCAATTCATAAATCTTAAGCAGTGGCAGCAGTTCCAATTAAACCACTCACAGGTATTATTTTATTACAGACCGGAATGATTGCCCATGAATTAAGAAGGTAAATGTTACAAAATGTTTACAAAAATTACATGAGGTATGTAATTTGAATGGGTAATTGATGCATGTTGACATTTGCTTTTGCTCTTTACTTTTAGTCATTTATTTAATTTGTTAATTTTATTTACTTTTTTTAACCATTGTTTTAACACATGTTTTCTTTGTCTGCCTCTTGGGTGTATCTGTTGTCTTCAGGCAAAGCCCACATGTCATGGCTGAGGATGTTGCCCCCACTAGGTTGCTGGTTGCAGCAGCTGCTGGAAGAGCCAGTAGACTTGTCATCTGGGTCAGACTATTTGCTGTGTTCAAATGGACACTGCCTGTCTTTCACTGTCTTTTTCTCTAAAGAAAATATTAAATTTACTGAAAATTTGAAATTTAGAAAGGTTGGAAAGGCTACATAACACAGGACCTTAGATTTGGTGGTTGCATGTGGTACATGCAAAAAGCTGCTTAATTATGAAATGATGCCAGAGTGCTACTTGAACCATTTCTTTCTGGAAGGAAAGTTCAAATAAATGGCAAAAAGTTATCAATTATTGAATGCAAATTCCATGAGTTCACTTGTGTGTTTGTGGTATCCTTTAAGGAATAATATTCAAAAAAGAAGCTCATCATATAAGCAGTGGGCTTAGAAGGTCTCTTTTTACTTTCCTTTGTTTCCTAAGATATTGTGTCTTTTAGGTTCATTCCCAAGTATCCTTTGCTACGTTTTTCTTTGTAGCATTACATTATCATCAGTCCACCCAGACTGAGGCATGAGGCCTATGTTTACAAAGTACTAACCTTCATTTGGGCTCCCAGTCTTTCTTTTTGATCTTCATACCTGCTGTTACAGAAAAAGTCCAGCTCTTTAAACAATAGAGTTTCAGACAAACATCTGTCTCCCCTCAGAAGCGTTTCTTCACAGGCCAAATAGCCGGGAAGCCACTAAATTCCAAATCCAAGGTTGCTTCCCAGGACAAAGCACGAAGCCAGAATCTCAAATCTATAGTCTGTTCACATTTTCAAACAAACAGGGTTGCCTTTTAAGGAGAGGCTAGTGCCTCTGAAAAACTTCACTTAAGAATTAATTGCATATATGAATCAAAAACAGACTAATCAACAAGTAACTGTTGAATTTTTCATAGGCTCTTGGCAATTGTTATTATAATAGACATTAAAAGACAAATACATCTATCAGTCCATTTAAATCAGTGTTATTATCCAAATTGACTTATAAACATTAAACATATCTTCCTATAAAACATAAATAACATACCCTGTTTCAGAACTTTTTGAAGGTCCGTGTGCAGTTGAAGAAATGTTTATTAATGCTTCTGGTACTTATCCAGATTTGAGCCAAGAAAAGTTGGCTTATTTATAAACAATGGTCCCCAAAACTTGCCTTTCCAGAATTACAAATTCTACAATGAATCATCTGTATTGTCTGATGTATTTTCTAAATTTAGGACACAATTCATTATCGAAATCCTTGCTTATTTCAAGACTTCTGCCTTTAGTTCTTCAGTGTGTAAATATAAAATAAAAAGTCCCTAAATGCAAGGCACAATGTAACATGATAAAAACCTCTTTGTGTTAGAAAATTACATGTCAGAACCGGGTAATCTATAATACCAATTAACCAGCAATGATAATTGTAAGTTTTTAAGAGCTAGCAAATGTGTTGCTCTTTCTCAGAGATGACTCTTTTTCATATACTTTTGACATTTTTCCCCTTTATTTTGTAAAGTCTGCTTTGTGAAAGACACAAGATTATTTATAACAATAGATGTTTTAGGAATTGGCAAACTTTTAAATCCTAGACGGAATGGCAGAATAGGCCCTCAAGGAGGGAATGGACTTTATTTATTCTTGGTGAGTTCCAAATGCACAAAAATAAAGGGCTTGCCAGTTGCCAGTGGGAAGTGAACATAATTATGACTTCACAGCTGCTTCTCCTAAAGTAAAAGGAGAGAAAAAAGGAAGAGTCATGCTTTTTTTTTGTACTGTATCTAAAAAGAATATGCACAAAGGGAATATATTTATGCCAGATATAAGAAGCCATAAAGTAATACTGTACTACCAAACTTATGCCAAGACTTTCAGAAATCTTGACTTGGTGGACTGTAAATCAGAGACATGCATCTATACTACTCTAGCAATTAGAGCAATGTATGGAAAATTGAGTTCCTCAAATATATTCCCACTAGCTTGTTTCCCCTGATGCAAGTGGAGTGATCTTTCAGCAAAATTGTCATCATCTACTTTACTGGTCTGACATTTGCAAAGCTCTGTTCAGAGAATTTAAAACTTGATGGATCTGACTCTATAGTGTGTGGTCTCAAGAAATGGCTTTTGGAAAGTTTTGTTTGGGACCTTGAAAATTATACTGCATACATGCTATGAGATTCTCAAGGTAACTAGTTACATCTGCCAGGGCTGATATATTGTTTAATGTAGAACAGTTGTTGACAAATTTTTATGTAAATAGTGAAGTTGTAAATATTGCAGACTTTGTGGGCCATATAGTCCCTATCCCAGCTATTCAATTGTGCCATTTGCATGAAAACAGCCTAGATAATATTTAAATGAGCAAGCAAGACTGTATTCAAATAAAACCTTACTTACAATAACAGACAGCAGGTGGATTTGGTTCTAGACCATCGTTTGCAGACTCTTGATCTAGAAAGTTCTAGTCATAAAGCTGGACTTGCAAAAGCCAAATAGTTATGGGAAACTTTATCAAAACAGAGGTCTTTTGTTAATGCCGGTAGAGCTTTTAAGGATAATTTAAACATACGGATATTTTCCTCAAGATGTTTTGTCAATTACTAGTGGAGAGAAGGACACCAGCAAAGAGCAGTCCCTTACCCAAAACACTGCAAAAATACCTTGGTTACTTGCTTCCTTACAAAATCTTTATATCATGCAACTGCGTACAGGAACTTAGATTGAACACAAAGTTCCAAATATTTTTATCTCTATTGATCCCTAGCAGATGTAACAGAAAGAAAAGATGAACAGTCAACCTGATTTCAATATAGATATTTTGTGGCAGCGAGAAAGGAGATGCCAGTTGAATCGGAATTATTTGTGAATCTGCTTGAGGCAGCCTCATGAAAAAAAAATAATCTTTTAGTCTGCCTCCTACATTCAGAGGCTACCTTAACTTCTGAAGAAATGTTAAATTATCTGAGGGATAACTCTAGGTGAGTCAAGGGTGATACCTTTCCCTGGGTCTTCCAGTAATCTGCCATTGACCTCTATATGCCACTTAACTTCCATTTGATCTATTTCCCAATTTATAAAATAAAGGAGAATAAAGAGATGTCTATAAAGTGGTTTAAAAGCCTGAGTGAAAGGCCATCTGAAACATAGGATGGCTGAATTTCAAAGAGTCAGGAGGACACTTTGGCTATTGAGAATACATGTTAAATCATGTAAGTGGACACAATAGTATTCTTGTGAATGCCACATTACTCAGCAGTATTCCAGAGGGTCAAATAGATAAGGAGGACATGAAAGTTTAATATTCAAGTTAAGCCTTTTAATTAAAATATATATGAGAAAAATATGTAGAAGGAATGCATTTTGAATTGAAAGTTGTTATTTTGTGATGTCAACACAGGAACATAGACAAAAATTCACCTAGACATTTTTCAAAGGCTCTTTTATATATAATCGAGGTACTCCAGTTTTTTATTTTTACAATATGTTTTAGCTACTTTTAGTCTTACTGTATTTTTTATATACTTCTCTTTCTATTGTTATAAGACCCAAAGTTAACGTCATAGAAGCAGCATAGGGTGGTAGAATTGTGCTGTGCTGAGTGTTAGAATCTTTGCTTTCTCTGACTTCATTTTTTTCCACTAGTAAAGGCGATAAGAAGAAGCTTTCAATTCTTTTAGGAGATTAAACGAGGTATTGAATGACCAAGTAGGTGCTTAACGGTTATAGATGTTCAGTAGTCAAGACTCAAATTTGAGTTTGAAGGATGCTGATTCTGAGATACTCCGGCTTGGTTAATTTCTCTAATAGGAAAGAGAAAAGGTATAATTAATTGCAGTTTTCCCAACGAAGAGAGCATTGGCATGACAATTTTCACTGTGTATTAATGATGTCATTGCAAGGTATTTACCATTTTTGTCCCCATCCCCAAATGCCAGTAGCCTCCTGCTGTGATCAAAGAATATTCTTTCATTTTTCTAAATACAGTCAGCCCTCTGCATCCCTTGGTTCCACATGGTTCAAACAACCATGGCTTGGAAATATTAGAAAATTTTGCATCTATATGAACATGTATAGACTATTTGTTTCTTGTCATTATTCCCTAAACAATACAGTGCAACAAATATTCACATAGAATTTACATGTATTAGGTATTAAAAGTAATCTAGAGGTGATTTAAAGGAAAGGGGAGAATGTGTATAGGTTATATGCAAATACTATACCTTTTTTATGTTGGGGACTTGAGCAATCATGGATTTTGGTATCCAGGGGAGGTGCTGGAACCATGCCCTCATGGAGAACAAGGCACAACTGTTACCTCTTTAGGAGGGGTCAATACAAAAACTGGATGATCGTCTAAAACACTTGTGAATTCAGCAGGCAAAGTATTATTTTGGCATTAGAAAACTTGCTGGCATACCTGAACTCTCCTCAGTGACCTGGGATCTGCTTAGAGACTAGGGCAGAGAATAAGATGGAAATTTTACAAATTAAAGTCAATACTCAAAAATAACTAATGATCAAAAGGATCCACATTTTTCCACTGCCACTCACACCCCCACCTGGTTCAGCAACATAGAGCCATGGCAAAATGGTCACAAGTTCCTATATCTCACTAATGACAGAGACTCAAAGGAAGCCTGGCAGCTTAGGGCTGGTGACAGGCTATCAGAGTTGGAGGGCCCATCATTTGCTGGTTGACTTTAGATGAGCTTCTTTACAAACGAGGGGTACATAGGAGGTTGTGGGTCAGAATCAAAAGGAAGTTCTCTTGCTCTATGTAGAGAGGTGTGTTGTTTATCAAAGGAGAAGAAGAGAAGGAAAGACGATTGGATTTAGAAGATTATTTAATTGCATGCAACAACTGTAGAAGTATTGAAGTTTTTGTCCCATTTAATAGATGGTAAAAATAAGATGGTTTTAGTGCTCATAATGCTTCAGGGTGGGTACAGGGGAAGATTTGATTAAGAATTTATGAATAAATTTTTCTTTCACCTGATTATTTTGATTCTACCATGAATAAGCTGAGAATTGCTTAGGAGAATCTGTGCAGGCTGCCTTGAAACAGAAATGCAAGACTGATTGGTCTAGGGAAAAATATGCCAGCTGCCTGTACTAACAGCACCCATTCATTGGGATTTTAGTATGCACAATGTTATTTTGTAACTGAGTCTTTATTATAAGAATCATAAGATGTTTGTTTTGCTTAGTTTTATTTTTTCCTTGCCTTTTTCTGCCTCCATGCATTCTTGCTTGCACATAGTCATTTTGGTAGAAGTAGTCACTAGTAATTGACTAACTTCATATCCTTACACCCCTGGTCTGCAAGACTGATAAACTGTGTGTGTATATATATGTGTGTGTGTGTGTATGTGTATATATATATGTTTTTTTTTTGGGAGAAGAAAAATGAATCTTAGGTCACACAAACCTTGATGACATCCAGAAGTTTGATCAGGTCAAGAGACACAGACAGCTTTGGTTTTCGGGGTATCCCATCTCCTGCATACCTACCTGACTCATAGAAGGCCCCACTTATGTGTAAAGGAAGGTTGGACTTGAGAGACTGTCTTTCCTGCCCTCTCACTTTGGCCAAATTGAATAAACCTTTATGCTGATGTGTCAATGTTTGGCTTACTGTGCATAAGGTATGTGAACCTAAATTTTGACGTTAGACAACAATTATCCAAAGCATTTTATATACTTAGTCCTTCTACTCTGCACAATAAATCCATAAGGTTGATATTTTCATTATCATCTCCATCTTCAGACGAAGACCTAGAACTTGTAATGCTAAATACCTTATTGAAATCAGAGTCAATAAGAAAAAGAAGCTGGAATTGAACCAGGGCTCCTTACTTGGGGCTCATACCCAGCCTGGTGGGAGTGCTAGGGAAGGAGGGCAGAAAGGCAGGTCCCATGCGAGCAGAGCGGAGTGATTCCAGGATGGATCAATTGGCATCCATAGGACTTCTTGAGATGCTGAATGCAGAGGCCTTGAGAAGCCCACACTTTCTAGATTATGTACATGCCCAGACCCAGTGGATATCTATTTAGTTTTGATTAAAACCCTCCCTTCTCTAGAAAGGGAATGTGAGTCTGTATCACCTACAATAAGACAAATCAACAGATGAGATTATCTGCATGGCCCTTTAAGGAACCTTCCCCACCTCCCTACTCTGTTATACTCTACCTACAAGATGAGACTTTCAAAGGAGCATCGTTTCCCCTTGACTCAAACAGATAAAAGAAATCTGACTCCTAGTCACCAGGAAACAAGAAGTCTCCTCCACAGTCTTTTGACCTTTTGTTGCTCCAAGAAGGCCCACATGTCACTGCTTTGCCTCTTGAGGCCATTAAACCCATTTCGATCCTTTATATAACTGCTAAACATAGACACTGAAATGAAGAAATACAGCCTAAATAAAGACACCAGTAACAGCTTGCAGGAAGTATTAAAAACAGTTCTGCAGAAGGTTAGGAGCCAAGGCTTTTTCCACTGTGAGCTTTAGAGTTTCTCTCTTTGACCAGCCAGAAGTTTACTTCACTACAGGTATGAGATTAGAAATTTTGAAGACTATTGCACACAATTTTCACAGTGGATCAGCCAGAGGTTGTTAAGCAAAGAGAATGGTGAAACCATAATATACTGAGATGACAGAGGGGGCTCATGAGTGTTCCTGCTTCCACGCTCTGTGGGCCAGCCACCAGCAGCAGCCACTGTTTGTGGCATCCCTGACTTGGTTATGTGGATTGTGCCTGTTGAGGGAGTGCTAAGAGGAGAAATCTACAGAAAAGCCATGAACTAGGTGGTTGAACCAAGTGGGTGAAATAGACAAGAACTTCAGATGCAGGAAATTTCCTTCCAGAGGCAGGTAATAATGGGTCCCTGACTTCTTGTCAAATTAGCCACCATGATATCAGAGCTTTCACACCAAGCTAGTATAGTATGGTGGCTAAGTCCGGGACTTCTGTAGATAAGTAGAGCTCAATCTAATCTCTGACTCCATATGGACTAATTGTGAGGCCATTGGAAAATCACTTTAGCTCACTAAGTTATAGTTTCCTATTCCGTAAATTGGAATTAACGTTAGTACTTACTATCTAGGGTTGCTATGAAGACTAAATACTTAACACAAGGTCTGGACCATATTGAATGCTTCATTCATGGGAGTCATTGTTATTGAGAAACTTTCTATGTGTACATCACTGTTTAGAGAACTGGGTACATATTAAAGTAAAAAGTCTGTGGTTTAGTCCTAGGATGCATATAATCTAGCTGGATTGACAAGAAAAGTACATGCACAGAAAAGTTAAATAATATAAAAGAGCATACAAAAAAATGTTAATTGTGCAGCATGGATGATAAGTGCCTTATTCATTTATTTATTCATTAGTAAAACACACACTGAAGACTTCCTGTTTTGAAGCAATGTGATAAGAACTGAGAAGGGTAGCAGAGCTTAATCCCATAGGAATTATTGCATGAAAAGTACTATTGTTATCTTGAAGTTTACTTATGGGAAAACTGAGACTTAGACACAAAAAAGGAGCATCCTCAAGTTCTCACTAGTAGTAAGTTAACAAGGTTGGGATTGCAACCCAGACCTGCCTGACCCCAAAACTCATGATCTTATAGAGCAGTTGTTAAGAGAATAGAATCTACAGTCAGAGAATCTGGGCTCAATCCTGACTCTGCCAATCATTAGTTTTGTGATCTTGGTTAAGTTACTTAAATTCTCTGGACCAGAGGGTCCTCATCTGTAAAGTGAAGGTAAAATATTAGCATCTACTTCATGTGGGTTTTGTGATGATTAAATGATGATGAGTTAATCTATTTAAAAATGTATCAGTGCCTGGAACACTATCAGCACTGTAAATATAAACTCTTATTATTGTAATAGTGAACACTATAAATTATTACTCTTAACTGAGCTATGGCATGTGAAATGTTTAGAACATTGGTACATAATAAACATGCAGTAATTAGCTGTAATAATAATTATTATAATTATAAAGAGAAGGTTAGTCAAGGGTGGCTATTTTACATCAGGGACTTAAGCAACCACTGATTTTGGTATCTGTAGGAAGTCTTGATTCATAGTCGAATCAAAATAAATAATAATTACAATAGTTATTATTATGACCTAATGAGTTACACTGCCCCTGATTGGTTTACTTGCCTTCAGTCAAAATTGTCATTTTCTGCTCCTAAACTTCCAAACTATTTCACTCCTGTCAATGGTATCGTAATACTCCCATAACACAACATTATTTAAAGAATTACTGTTTTCGTTATCTTCAATAGGTAATGAAAGAAATGCTAGGATTAGAACAGGCCTTCGTTTAATTCTAAATCATGGTGCCATTATGAGAATTAGTCTATGATTACATGTAAACCACTATAGGACATAGTATATGCTCAATAAAGTTAGTTATTGTTCATATAATCAGTTCATATACTTTATTTTCAATATGTCATAGAGAATAAAGTCCCATCGCTTTTCCTTTAGAACACATTTCATATAATTCTGTCTTTCTACATACCCTAGCTGAAATCCTTGGGTGCCAGGCTTTCTATTAGGTGTAATTCATCCTGCGTACCACTGCTGTTACCTTCAACAGTTTGCGTAGACTAAGAAAACCACCACGATTTTCTATTTTCCAACACCAACATGTCAGACACTTCTCCCCAGTGGCCAACCCAATCTTTTCGGACTTCTTTTACTGCTCATAGGGTCACCGTTCTGGTCAAAATTGTCTCCTCATTATTTACAATGCATTTTGTCTTATGTTGACTTTGGACAACATTCACATGCTTTCCCATTCCTTACCTGGGAGCTTTGATTTCACTCTCTGCTGACTCAAATCTGCCTCTTCTTCAAGGATAAGATCATGTATCACCTTTTCCTTAAAGCCTGTCCTAATTAACTCCCATCAGCCCTTCCCTTCTCTGAAACCCTATAACCCTTGAATCTTCTATGCCTAATGCAGATATGATACAGGTATATGTTATGAAGAGGTTTAGTACATAGCGACCTGAGTAATATTACCTGAATTCTAACTCGGCTCTTCCTCATCTTAGGACTGGGACTTGGGCCTTAGTTTCTTCATCTGTCAAGTGGACATAACAGCAGCACCTATCTCATAGTATTATTTGGGATACTTAAATGACATAAACCATGCAAAGCACTTAGCATAGTAGTTGATGTGTGATAATCATTCAACACGTTAGCTGTTATGATGTGGTTGTTATGATGAGCACTCACCATCTGCTTGTTGAATTAACGAATTAAACTATTGATTTCCACACAGTTTTATAGTTCCCATGTTTAGAGGAATAAAATAGATTGTACAAGATATCCAAGAATCCCAAAAGGATGCATAGTTACATTTACCTTTAGAATGTTGCCAGTCTTCGATGTCACAGAACACACAGGCTGATGGTTTAAATGCTCTCCTCCTCAAAGTCTGGATTTTTTTTCTCTCCCACCCATCCTTATTGCCACCCACCCCTTACTTGATAAGTAGAGAAAGGAAGAGGGTTATGAAGATTTCAGGTCGCAGATGAAATGTACAAAGACAAACCCAGGGCTTCCCATATTATATTGAATATAGAGAATGCCTTAGGGAACTCTAAGAAGTTTGAAGTCATTTTCCCTTTAGAAATCGTAAAGAGGTCAGTGATTTATAATTCAGAAGAACAATGGACAGGAAAAGTTCTCTACCTGCCCGTGCAAGCAACGACTGTCTTGCGAGGCCTTCTAATGTAGTCAGAGCTTCAAAGTAGTTAACAGCTCTTTTTCCCTAACTGCCTGCTACGCTTTATCCTAGAGGCACTTCTGCTCTTCTCTGATTCCTTTTGGCTTAAAAAATTATTTTTTTCTGCCATTCTCATTTCTCCTCTGCAATCCTCTCTTTCTTTCTTTTTCTCTTTAGTGGTCTGGCTTTGGTGCTGACCCCACCGTGCCCTCTCAAGGGCACTTAGCAGAGCTGTTGTCTCAGGCTCGGGTGTGCTCCCCATCTTCTGACCGGTAATAGAACAAAGGACAAAAGGCCATCTCTCCAAGTCACAATATCTCTTTATTGAAGCTTTGTTCTGCTGCTTTGAGCCTTTTCTCTCTGATTCACTGGCCTTGCATTTGAGCAACTTTCCCATTTCTCGCTTTTCTATTACCTCCCAATTCTAGAATGACTAGGTTAGACTTATTGTTTTCTTGTTTCTCACTTCCAATAAATTTTTCGACACACTGATAATATCTGCGGGTTATGTCAGAAGATGGAAAAATCAAATGAATGCCAATCTTCATTCCTGGGTCCCCTGCTCTCTGGCTTGGCAACTGAAATCCTGGGTCCTGCATTTTCCCTCCTAAACCACCTCCAAGATTGGCCTTCAGAGCTCTTAGGACTAGACTGGCTGGTGGAGGGAGTGGTGCTCTCAAAGGGCCTTTCTTCTTAACAAATCCTCCCTTGCTCAAATGGGATGTAGAAGCAGATTCGGAGGCTTGTGGAAATGGGCCCCATCAACAGTCAAGCATGTATCCTATTACCATTTCAGGCATTCTTTGTGGCTCCGTCATTCTGTTTGTAAGTCTCATTACTTCGTTTGTCCTTTAGCAAATACATCCCTCGTCTACCACATACCTCCTCCTCTCCTTTTTTACTGCCACTGCCTTAATTCAAGTGCTATTTGTTGAAGAAGTGTTCCACCAATACTTATGTTGGTTTCCTTGGGCTGTCATATAAAAAGTACCGTAAGCTGAAATTTATTCTCTCACAGTTCTGGAGGCTAGAACTGTGACAGGGCCTTGCTTCCTCTAAAGGCCCTATGGGAGAATCTGTTCTGTGTCCCTCTCTTAGCAGTGGTGTTGGTGACAATCCTTCACATTCTCTGGCTTGTAGCTGTGTAACCCCAAACTCTACCTTCATCGTTATGTGGCATTCTTCTCTGTCTTTTCCTTTTTTTTATAAGGAAAACAGTTATATGGAATTAGGGCCCACATTAACGAACGCATCTTAACTAGATGTCATCTGCAAAGATCCTATTTCCAAATGAAGTCACATTCACAGGTACCAAAAGGTAGGGCTTCAAGATATCTCCTAGGAGGACACCATTCAACCTACCACGAAACCCTCGTAGATCTCCCTGCCACCCGTGTTTTCCTTCTCTAATCCACCCTCTTTATACCATCCAGTCAGCTTTCTAAAATACTCATCAGATTATTTACACTTGAATTTAAAAATTATCTGCCATCTTGCCATTTCTTTTAGATGAAATCTTTAGAATTGCATTTCGGGTCCTTTTCATTTTGGGTACTTCCCATGTTCCTTTCCAGCACACCCTGTCTTCCACTCTCATGGACCTCGCAGGGTGTATGACTTGCTCATTATGTTAGGACGTTCAAGGCCTTGTGTACATTTTTGCTTTTTTTCACCTAGGCCCCATTCTCTTTTAAAATGAATAACCCATCCTAGATTTTTTAATAATCCTTTGTTTATTCTATTTTCTTATTCATTCTGAATTTCTTGATGCCTGGTACTTATTATATGCAAATAAATGATATTGAATAAATGATTTCAGAAAGGAATAAACAATTTGATAATTAATGTTACAAATAGTTTTTTCTTCATCATGATATTCATAAGTTCTAAAAACTTCATAGTTATTTGTCAATATAAATAATTTTTTCAAATATTTATACCATAATAGCTAAGAGGCAGGTTTTGGAACTGCCTGGTTCACTTAGTAGTTACGAGATTTTTTTCAGTCTTGTATTTGACCTTCCTGGTCCTTCAGTGTCTTAATCTGTTAGATGGGAACACGAATTCCTAATTAACAGAGTTATTAGAATAAAATGTATTAGATAAAAGAACAATCCTTAGGGTAGTGACCGATACAAATTAAATGGTTAATATTTATTTGTCATATTGTCTTTATAACTACTATATTTATAATATAGTTATTATATTTATATTTATTATAATATAATATATAAAAATACATAATAGAAATATAATTAATATATAACATTTATAAATATAAATATAATAGTATATAATATTGTAAATATAGTATAATAGTAGTGATATTTATTATGTTTAATAATATAATTATCTATTAAGACATATAATACTGCTGTATATCTTTTTAAAAACACTTATTTTAAGTTCTTAAATTAATTGTTATTTTAAACCACATGATCAACTGTTTTTCTAGTTAATTATCTACAAGCTAAAATATCACCATTCTGAATTATAATTGAGAATATATCATTGTCTCTCTTCAACCACCTCCCGATTAAAGTATTGAATTTATTTTATAACAAAGGTGAATCCTATGAGACAGAGGTAGATAAAGTTGGCCTTGATATGTGGCATTGGATTAAAGAATAATAGCTGTGCCGGGCGCAGTGGCTTATGCCTGTAATCCCAGCACTTTGGAAGGCTGAGGTGGGCGGGTCACGAGGTCAGGAGATTGAGACCGTCCTGACTAATTCAGTGAAAGCCCATCTCTACTAAAAATACAAAAAATTAGCCAGGTGTGGTGGCATGTGCCTGTAGTCCCAGCTACTTGGGAGGCTGAGGCAGGAGAATCACTTGAACCTGGGAGGCGGAGGTTGCAGTGAGCCAAGGTTGCACCACTGCACTCCAGCCTGGGTGACAGAGCAAGACTCTGTCTCAAAAATAAAAAATAAAATAAAAGAATAATAGCTGTAACATGCTCTTTTTAACAATGCTGTTTGGTAACTGTTCTCTTTGGATGGGAAGCTAATGACAGCTCCTCATGTTACACTGTCCGGCATATGACTATGAAAGACACTACACCAACAGAGGACAATCTAGGAATGTGTTCTTATGTGACTATAATAAACTTTCATTCATGAACCACTTTCACTCATGGTTACCATAGTGTGGATTCTCAACAAGTCGTAAATCTGTGTAATAATAATAATTCTGAAAGCAACCTCAAAACAAAGTAATAATGGATGATGTTGACTCTCTTCGTAAATAAACACATTTGCCTTCTGAGGCTGTAAATAAAACTTATAAATTATATGGATGGACTCTGGAAAAATTTTGCATGACCATGTAGGTAGTACTCCTTCTTAGGTGGAAAAAAACCAAAAGCTGCATTCACATAGAAGATAAGATTCGGTATCTAATTTCATCAGCATTTAACATGGGGCTCATTTGGTTTTCCCAAAGAAAGAGGAGGCAGGAACTAAAAATTTGATCTTACAGTCTCTCTTTCTCTCTCTTTCTCCTTTGATGTACATTAGTTCCCATGGAAACTACATTGGGATGGCTTGAGAGTGACATCTACAAATGCAGTGTAAGGTCATTTTTATCTAATGCTTTGAAATTTAAACCACGATTTGTGATATATAGTGAAACCTCCTTAACATATTCTGAAAGACTATGAAAAGACAATATTCTGAATGCAAAAACAAGACATGTGACTGCATTATGCCAGGTCTCAGAAAGTTCAGCATTGCACTTTGCATTGATAAACAGAAAGAGCTTCATTTTTCAGTTTGCCTCCAGAAGAGTCCTGGCAATGCAGTTGGCCTCCTTAACATAGAGGGAAGAAACCCCCTCATTCTACCTCCTTCCTTGTTTTTTGTTTTTGTTTTTGTTTTTTATAGAGTTTCACTCTTGTTGCCCCAGGCCGGAGTGCAATGGCATGATCTCGGCTCACTGCAACCTCCGCCTCCCAGGTTCAAGCGGTTCTCCTACCTCAGCCTCCCAACCGAGTAGCTGGGATGGCAGGCACATGCCACCACCGTGCTCTGCTAATTTTTGTATCATTAGTAAAGACAGGGTTTCGCCATGTTGGCCAAGCTAGTCTCTAACTCCTGACCTCAGGTGATACACCTGCCTAGGCCTCCCAAAGTGCTGGGATTATAGGTGTACTGCACTGGCTTTATGTTGTTGTCGTTGTTTTGAGATGAAATCTCATTTTATCGCCCAGGCTGGAGTGCCATGGTATGATCTCGGCTCACTGCAACCTCCGCCACCCGGGTTCAAGTGATTCTCCTGCCTCAGCCTCCCAAGTAGCTGGAATTACAGACATGCGCCACCAAGCCCGGCTAATTTTTGTATTTTTAGTAGAGATGGAGTTTCACCATGTTGGTCAGGCTGGTCTTGAACTCCTCATCTCAGGTGATCCGCCCTCCTCGGCCTCCCAAAGTGCTGGGATTGCAGGCGTGAGCCATCATGCCCAGCCTCCTTCCTTGTTGCTGGAGCCAGTGAGGCCACCAGATAAGGGACAAGGGTTTAAGGCTTTAAATGCTGCAATAAGTAACTGCATGAGGACTGTGATAAAGCTGCAGGGGTTTTCTTGCTTCTACGATTCCTACTAGCACTCTTGGCCTGTCTTCCTTAGGGCACTGATGTGATTTCCTTTATTAATTTGCCAGTGCTTCACCTATAACTTCCAGGTATATTCAAAGGGAGATACATTTCTAAAGGAAGAAACTGGAGCCTTGGGCTCAAAATGACTTGAGGTTTAATGGAATATGATCAGCTTAGGCTTCTAATGTACTTTCTAGTGAAGAAAAGTGTAGATGCTGAGTAGGGAGGTATGGAATCAAATCTTTACTAATTTCTTTTCTAGCTATGTGTCTTTAGCAAGTCAAAACTTTCCTAAGCCTTACTATACTGATCTGAGGAATGCTGTCAAATTTTAAATGGGTGAACATGAGAAAAGGGAATAATGTATAAGAAAGTGTTTAGTACTAGTTACATGCTGGGAACTCAATACAATTGTGTTGCGTAAATGAACTTTGTTTATATGTAACTTTGTTCTCATCAAAATGCTTTATATGGAAAGTTGTGAAAATAACTATCGCTTATCTCAGATCATAGTTAAATGTGGGTCAAATGGCTGTCTCTTCGGTTTACAGTCACCATCTGGAATATGTGGGCTGTAAGATCAGTTTTGGCAGCAAAAGAGAGGCCAGGAGGAGGCACCTGGGTTCCTGCATCACCTCCATTCTGGCTATAATGGCCTAACT